TCTCATAGAGCGTCCAAGTTTATCTTTAATCATCACTGTAACACTCTCATAGAGCGTCCAAGTTCATCTTTAATCATTACTGTAACACTCTCATACAGCGTCCAAGTTTATCTTTAGTCATCACTATAACACTCTCATAGAGCGTCCAAGTTTATCTTTAATCATCACTGTAACGCTCTCATAGAGCGTCAAAGATTATCTGAGCCCAACACAAAGTCTTTCCTTTACCTCCATCAGTGTCTCCTCAGGCAGTTCAGGAGCTTCAAAGGTGATGAACCCCTCTAAACTGGGGGGTGAAGCACCGTAAGGCATGTATCTCAGGCTGGGAGTAGCCTCTGCTTGTGGAGGGGACGATCCTGAACACACCCCAGGTGGGGAGCCCATATATACACGGCCACTCACAGAGCAGAGGGAGCCTCCAGAGCTGTTGGACCCCACTGCAAGGAAACACAGACATAAGGAATAGTTTCCAGAGTTCGTTCCTGAAGTCAGAGGTTCTCAGAGCAACGTCTACTTGCATGTATAGAATAAAACCTATTATTAACAATGAAGGAGATGTTAAAACGGTATTGAAGTTTATCACAATTGTTTTTACGTTTCCACGCTCACTCACCTGTCAGTTTGTCAATAACATGGTGGTCTGTATGTTGCTGGAAGCTATGGAAATGGGATTTTAAATTCCAGCAGGGCCACCCAATGGTGGATAGGTTTCAGTGGAAATTACAGACCAACACAGACGAGGAACAAAGGCCTGGTGAAGTGATCGCCTTCTAAAAATCAGCCAATGAAAACTTTATGGATCACTGTGGAACAATGTCCAACTCGCCAACTGTCATCAGGAGGGATGATCAATTGTTAAGAGGACATCGTGTTTGCTGAAGTAGAGGGTCAGCAAGGCACAGAGTCCCTTAGCAAGACAGATTGCTACAACAGTCACAAGGATGGACTCTAATATGGCAGCAGCTGTAAGGATGATGCGAGACTGGGTTAACATATGGTTAACATGATCAGGTGACCCAATGACAGCTAATATCATCATGTATAGATTTCACAGTAATCATCATACCCTTTCATATTGTTTTATACAAATTAATAGCACATACATTTCTCCATGTTATCCCTTAATCTTCATAATTATACAAACACAGGCTAGCAGGTCCCTAAATCTACATAGGTCATTTTCTTAGCTAACTTTTTAGAGTACTGGCATGGCATTGTGGGATAAGCACTGGACTGCAAGATCAGTTTGAACTGCAAGTTCAGTGGTTCAAACTCACCAGTGGTTCCTTGAGAACCCTATAGAGTGTTGCTATGAGTCAGAACCACCTCGACAGTACTTAACAACAACTTTTAACTTATGGCATTTACACTATATCTAGTTTTCTCACACTACAAATAACACTGTAATGAAGATAGTTTTCCCTTTCTCTTGAATGGTTTATTTGTGATAAATTCTCCAAAGTAATTTGAACAGGAATTTGATTGCCAGGATTGTAAGTGTTTTACAGCTCTGCCTGAAAATTGCCAAATTGTTTTTTAAAGCAGCAGTGAGGAAACTCACACATCACACTACAACCTCAACAACACTGGTTTAGTTCATAGATATAACAACATCCAGTCTCATAGCAACATGCAAGCCACAACAGCAGGAAGGCTGGTGGATGGAGTCAGAAAGTACTGATGACCGGCTAAATGTGTACAGGATGAGGTGAAAAGATTGGCATAAAAATAGCAAATCATGCAAAAAATCCTATTAGTATCAAAAAATGCACTGGGTATAAGATAAAAAGCCTTCAGTATAAGCTGAGAAGCACCCTATGTGTATAGCTGCTTTATCGTGGGGAATTCACATTTATATCATGGTATTATAATATCCCCTATCTCCTACTGTCATCGAGTCGACTCACACTCACAGCAATTGTGAATAGGGTTTCCAAGGCTATAAATCTTTACAGGAGGAGAACCTCTCATCTTTCTCCCAAGGAGTAGCTAGAGATTTGAACAGCTGACCTTGTGGTTACCAGTCAGTACTTATACTACAATGCCACATCAGGACTCCTATTATGATACTATTATATGGTAGCGTAGTGGTTACGAATCGGGCTGCGAACCTTAAGGTCAGCGGTTCGAAACTACCAGCTGCTCCGTGGGAGAAAGATCAGGCTTTCTACTCCCGTAAAGATTTACATCCTCGGAAACCCTGTACAGGGTCGCTATGGGTCGAAACCGACTCGACGGCACTTAACAACAACAACATATATATGTAAATATATATATATATGAAGATGACTCTTTTCTTTACCTTAAAGGATTATATGGAATAAATATGTTGTTGTTATGTGCTGTGAAGTCAGTTCCAACTCATAGTGACCCTGCCTAGAGTTACCGAGGACTGACTGATAAGCTTGAACCACCAACCCTGTGGTTCAAGCTGACTTTGCAGTCCAGCACATTAACCCACAGAGCCACACACCAGGACCCCAGGAATGAATTGTTGTTGTTGTCAAGTCCCATCAAGTTGGTTCTGACTCATAGCAACTCTATATAGGGTTTCTGAAGCGCATCTGGTGAATTTGAACCGCCAACCTTGCGGTTCAAACCGACTTTGCAGTCCAGTGCATTAACCCACAAGGCCATATCAAGACTCCAGAAATAAATTAGGCAACAATTATTTTTAAACTTTTGAAAAGTAAATCTTACAATGACTTACTTAGTGCTATAACTCAGACAAGTTACTTAACCACTTTGGGTTTCCATTTGCTTACCAGTAACTTACGACAAGCTATCAATGAAATGTAACAAATTAGGCAACAATTATTTCAAAACATTTAAAAAGGAGAGTGCTATTATATATTCCTTACAAGCCTTCAAGGTTAAGAAAACAAAGCCCAGAGAGGTTACATCACTTATCTAAGTTACAGAATTCAGTATTTATCAGAACATTACCCTCCAAATACTAGCTGAAGGTTGTAGTAATATCTTACCTGAAGTTGTTCTTGTTCGAAGTACCATATGGGTACCAGTGGGGACCGTGGCACTGTGTGGCGGTGACCCTACAGTGAACAGGACAGTCCTAGAGCTTGCTGCAGCTCCTACAGGAGGTGTCAGGACAACGCCACATGTTCCGGCCGGAGCTACAATATAAAGGTACAAAATGGCACGTTACTTCAGTAGTGCTAATCTCGGGTGGGATTACAGTGAGACCTTCATTCTTATATGAGTTATTTTTTCAAAAGAACATTTATTACTCTTAAAATCAGAAAACAATATAGCAAATCTATTAAATTTTTTTGTATGTAACAAGTGAAGTAGCTGAATCAGTAACAAAAAGCCTCCCAACAAAGAAACATCTGGGATCAGATGGCTTCACAGGGGAGTTCTACTGGTCATTTAAGAACTCACGCTAATCTTGTTCAAACCCTTGCCAAAAGAAGAGTTTGTCTGATACCAAGGCCAGACAAAGTCACCAGGAAAAAAAGAAAGAACAAATCAATTATCCCTTAGAATACTGACATCAACATCCTCAACACAGTATTAGCAAACACAGTCTAGCATCATATTAATAAAATTACACATCATGATTAAATGTGACTTATTCTAGGAATGTAAGCATGGCAACATTAGAAAATCAGTCTCATAATATAATAAATATAAGACAAACTGGATTTCCACACGCAGAAAAATCAAACAGGATACTTACCTCACATTATATACCAGGGCCACTGAGGTGACTATGACAAACAGCAACCCTATATAGGGTCTCCAGGAGTCCTGGTGTGGTAACTGTGAGTTAATGCACTGGACTGCAAAATCGGTTTGAACTGCAAAATTGGCGTTTCAAGCTCACCAGCTGCTCCTAGGAAACCCTATACAGAGTTGTTATGGGTCAGAATTGACTCGACGGCACTTAATAGGGTTTCCAAGGCTATAAATCTTCCTGGAAGTAAACATCCTCATCTGTCTCCTTCAGAGCCTCTGGTGGGTTTAACCTGCAAACTTTGCAGGTACCAGTCCAGGGCTTACACTACAGTGCCACCAGCTCCACCTTGCACCACATACAAAAGTTGAGTCCAAATGGACTAAATCTAAATCTAAATCCACCAAGTTTTTTGTGAGAATACAGGAGCCGGGATCTCAGGACCATCAAGAAAGAAGAGCCTGAGACCCTATCTAGAAAAATGGCCTCAGCAGAAACGGTAGCAAAAGCAATGGCATGAAGAGATAGAGCAACTGTGGACTATAGGCTCCTGGACTGAAAAAGGCTGTGTGCCTGAGGCAGGAAGCTGGCTTTCAGAATGTGGCCTTTAGACATTTAAATGAATATATCGTTTCCTTTCATATGCGTGTATCAAATAGTTTTGCTGTGTTGATTTGTGAAAAATTAGATGTAAAAGGGAAGAAGCCACAGGGAGGATTAACTGTTGTTACAGGGAGGGGATTGTAATCATTGACATGAAACACAATGTATGATTGCAGGGTCATGACTGACTTGACGGCACATAACAACAATCCAGGTTCTTGGTTTATTTTCTCAGCATACAGATTCACTAAGTATGGTGAAAGGATACAATGGAGTAATGCGAATGGCGCACACCTGCCTTCATTGTAAACTATACAGTATCCCTTTTTCTGATTGCCTCTTGGTCTATGTACAGGTTCCTCATGAACACAATTAAGGGTTCTGGAACTTCCAAACTTCACAATGTTACCCATAGTTTGTCATGGTCCACACAGCTAATAAAGCACAAGTAAACAACTTTCTGATACAAGATCCATCTGACGTAGCAAGGGATATCATCTAACATTCATCTGATATCCCTAGTTTCACATCCTCATTTGAATCGGGCTTGAATTTCGGGCAGCTCCCAATTGATGTATTGCTGCAATCATTTTTGGATTATATTCAGCAAGAATTGACTTACATGTGATATGATACTGTTTAATGATTTCTGCATTTCATTGGGTCACCTTTCTGTGGACTGGGCACAAATAGAGATTTCTTCCACTTGGTTGGCCCGTTAGCTGTCTTCCAAATTTCTTGACAGAGTCCAGTAAGTGCCTCCAGCGCTTCTGCTTCAGCTTATTGAAAGATTTTAAGTTGTATTTTGTCAATTCCTAGAGCTTTGCTTTTTGGCAATGTCTTCAGTACAGCTTGGACTTCTTCCTTCAATACCAGTGGCTCTTGATCATATGCTACCACTTGAAATGGTTGAACATAGACAAATTCTTTTCGATCAGTGACTTTGTGTATTCTTTCCAACTCCTTTTGATGCTTTCTACATCATTCAATATTTTATCCAAGGAGTACTTCAATATTACCTGTCCAGACTTGAACTTTTCTTCAGTTCTTTCAGCTTGAGAAATTTAATACATTAAAATACATTACTTTATTTTCTCAAGCTGGCCTTTGAAATTTCCTGTTTAGATCTTTTACTGCCTCATTTTTTCCATGTGCTCTAGCTTCTCTATGCTTCAGAGCAAATTTCAGAGTCTCTTCTGACATCCATTCATCTTTTTCTTTCTTTCCTGTAAAACTGAAGACCTTTTGCTTTCTTCTTGTATGATGCTTTTGATATCAAGGTCATATTTTGGCTCTCATGAACTTGCCATCATTTTCTTCAGCTGTAACTTTCTTTTCTTCATATGAGCAACTGATGATTTGTTCCACATCTGTTTCTGGCCTTGTCTTGGCTGATGATATTGAGCTTCTCTACTGTCTCTTCCTAGAGATGTAGTCAATTTGATTCCTGTGTATTCTATCTTGTGAGGTTCATGTGTTTTTTAAAAAGGATATTTTCAATGAATAAATTCATTGGTTTTTCAAAATTCTATCACGTGATCTAAAGCATCATTTCTATCACCAAAGCCATATTTTCCAACTACTGATACTTTTTCTTTGGTTCTAACTTTCACATTCCAAACACCAGTTTGGAATTATCAATGCATCTTGACTACATGCTTGGTCAATATCTGACTGAAGGAGTACAATTCTTCAATTTCTTCATCGCTGGATTACCCAGTAAATATAATGGCACTACTGACTTATCTTCCTTGTATGGACAGTATTCTAGCACAGACAACATTGTATTTTAATATAATAGATCTTGAAATGCACTTTTTGACGATGAATGTGATGCCATTCCTCTTGAATTTGTCATTCCCAGTATAGTAAATCATCTGACTGTCCAATTCAAAATGGCCAATGTCAATCCATTTCAGCTTACTAATTTAATGCCTATATATCTATCTTTATGTGTTCCATTTCATTTTTGACAACTTCCAAATTTTCTACATTCCATGTTCCAATTATTAATGAATGTTTGCATCTATTTCATCTCATTATTGTATCCCAACAGCAGATGAAGGTTTCATAAGCTGTGCTCCATTCATACCATTATGGTCACCTCTACTTTGAGAGATGGTAGTTCTGTCCCAGTTGTACTTTGCAAGCTTTCCAACCTAAGGGGCTCTACTTACAGGCACTACATCTGACAGTGTTCCACCGCTATTCATGTTTTCGTGGCTAACCAATCAGAAGTAGGGTGCCTCTCTTCCTAGTCAGTCGTAGTCTCGAAGCTCTGCTGAAACATGTCAACCAGGGTGATCTTGCTGGTATAAAGTGGCACAGCTTTCAGCATTACAACAACACACGGAACTACAGTAAGACAAACTGACAAAACTGTCCCCCTGAAGTCAAGTTTAAACTAATCAATTGTTTAGCTCAAGGAGTAAAGGTTGTCACCATTGTGTATTGTGTAATTAATAAAAATCTATATAAGATGAAACTGTCAATAGCTATTTTAAAACACAGATGCAATTAGTCAAGTAGTAAGAATGCTGACACAATGTGAAGATTGTTACTAATATCACTGATCATTATATAAAATATAGAATATGAATGGGCTATTGGTTCACTTGCTGATGTAGCGCAACTCAAAATGACAACAGTAATAAACATCCATCAGTAATCAATCAGAATGCGGAATATACAAATTATGAACCAAGAAAAACTGCAAGTAGTCAACAAATACAGCCAGAATGATCTTAGAGGCTAGGATGCAGAGACTTTGTCATGTGTTCTTTGTATGTGTTACCAGGATGGACCAATCCCTGGAGAAAGACATCATGCGTGGTAAAGTAGAGGGTCAGTGAAAAAGAGCAACACCATCAATACGATGGAACTCAAGAGCATGCCTCAGTGAACAGAAAGGCAAATTGGCAAAACACAGTCCACCACACACACAAAGAAACGTTCTACATCATACTCTGGTGAATAGCAACTGGACCCTTAAAAGTGCTAAAACTAGGTCAAGCCAAGCCTCTTTAGGTATACAAGAACAAAGATGTCAGACTTTGAGAACTAAGGTGCGCCTGACACAAACCATGTTATTTTCACAGCTTCATATGCATGTGCCACCACTCGTGTGTTGTGGCTTGTGTGTTGTCGTGATTCTGGAAGCTATGCCACCAGTACTGTAACAACCAGCAAAGTCAATCATGATGGACGGGTTTCATCTGAGCTTCTAAACAAAGACAGACTATGAAGATGGAGACACGGACTACTTCCGAATATTTATAGTCACTGAAAGACTAATGAATAGTAGAAGAACACTGTCATATAGCACCAGAATACTGACTGACTACTAAGACATGATGAAGAGCACCAGAAGATGAGCCGTTCAGGCTGGAAGGCACTCAAAATACGACTGAGGAAGAGCTGCCTCCTCAAAGTAGAGCTGACCGTGATGACAAGAATGGAGTAAAATCATTTGCTAATAAGAGGCACAACTCAAAATCTAGTGAAAGAGCTGTAAACATTCATTAATAATCCGAATATGCAATGTACGAAGTATGAATCTAGGAAAGTTGGAAATTGTCAAAAATGAAATGAAATGCATAATATACATTAAGATCGTAGGCATTAATGAACTGAAATGGACTGCTAATGGCCATTTTGAATCATAATCACACAACTTACTATGTCAAAAATGACAAATTGAAGAGGAAGAGCATAGCATTAATGATCAAACTGAACATTTCCAGATCTGTTTTGAAGCACAACGCTGTCTGTCTGTGAGAGAATAATATCCATGTATGAGGAGTCCTGGTGTCATGCTGTGGGTTAATGTGCTGG